GGGAGGCTCTCTCTATGTACACATTGCACCTTGATGTTGAGGCTCGACTCAAAAAAATCTCTGACAGAGATTATTCATTCCCTTTATAAACAGTTATTGAAACTGTGGCCGCTCGTTCGATGCAGTGATCCTATCCTATGGGGCACCATATTGCATCATTTCTGTGCTTACCAAGTCTGGAAACTACATCTACCAGATGATCATTGTTAATTCACTAAGAAAATGTATTCATCAGGCACATAGCTGAATCATATATTTCATTATTTAGAAAACCTGAGAATTTATGGGCCCGTCTTGTGCCTCTGGACCCCAGTTCTCTGTCGCAGCTGTGGGGACATCAGTACCAGCCTGTTTCTGCACAGTGTGCTGAAATGCAAAAATCTAAACATCTAAAATATTTAATTTGGAACCTGAGTCAGACTGTCAGGACAGGACCACCAAAAATCTGCAGTAGGCTGATATGGTTGCTGATCTGCTATGCTTATGGGTATATATTAATTTCAGGGCAATGAGATTTCCAGTTTTATGTTTGATACACCTTGCTGATGTAGAGATCAGCTAGCAGGTGGGTAGCACAGGAACCAAACAAATGGAAGAGTTGATTCCTTATCTCTTTGAGAAGACATTTCTAGTTCATAGCTAGTTGTTCTTTTAAGAGCAGGGACCTGTTGTACTATGAATATGTTGGACGGATCAGGAGGAGAAAGGAGAGCATAGGGCACGTCCCCTTGACAGTGAAAAGAATAGAAGCCCTGTGCAGACATTTGCCCTGTCCTTACGGGAGAAGGTTAAAGCCCAGCCAGACAAGAGGCTGATTCCTGGGAGGTAGAAAGGGAGCTTGGTTACAGAAAAATACACTTCATTTTGCTTACATTTTCACAGCTTTGAAACACTTTGTTAATTTGCAATAACAGCTTTTGCAGTCTTGTCAAAATAAATGTCCACTGCAGTTTGGAAAACCCCGATTTACTCAGTTATGGCTAAATGCAAGGAAGGGGTACTCATTCATCGTGGTAAGGAGGGTGCAGACAGCTTTGTGACTAAGTGCAGAGGGAGAGGAGGGCTGAATATGAAGTCACTCCCTTGCTCTGCGACCTCAGACAAACCACAGCGTTAATCTGTGCCTTATTTTCCCGAGCTGGGAAACAGAAAATACTGGCTTTCCCCTGCAAGGCACTATGAAACCATATTTACTCATGCTGTGAAAATATCCTGAGCTCCTTGTGTGAGAGGCAGTCAATGGAAATAGGCTGTAGACTAATCTTTTTTTCTCTGTTTTGAAAGGCAGGAGAAACAAGCTGGAGAAAATGCTTTACAGTTTTATTTTTAGAAGACTTGTAAGTCTCCTTTGATGACAGTTGTTCTCTTGCTTTTCTCCTTGCAGGTACTATGCTATCTGCTGCCAGCCTCTGGTTTACAGGAACAAGATGACTCCATTGCGCATTGCTGTAATGCTTGGAGGGTGCTGGGTAATCCCAACATTTATTTCTTTCCTCCCTATCATGCAAGGCTGGAATAGCATTGGCATCATTGATCTGGTGAGTAGCTAAGGAGGTACACCAACCTGGTATCAAACATATTCAGTGCTGTATATTCTTCTTTAAAAAGCAATATTCAGAGAAAAGGTGGCAAGAGAGGCTGGAGGAGAAACTTCTTGTTATCAATTCAAAGGGGCTATTGAATTTCTGGAGGCTGTTCTTTAAGGGGGTTTGAAATGACGCTGTCCTGGAAGGACTGACGCAAAGACAGTGGTGGCTCTTGGAGAGGATTTTACTGATGTCTACTGATCAGTTCAGTGAGTAGTCCTTTGAAAACACACCAAGCCCCAACTGGCTCCTGGAGGACACCTCAGGAGGCCTCGGTTCCCCCAGCCTCTGCAGCTCTCGGGAAGTGCTGGCCACTGCCAGCTTAGCCCGAGGGTCCCTTCTTGCTGTGCCAGCAGTGTTTGGAGAGCCAAGAAACCCAGACTTCCCCAGAAGGGATGATCCTTTGGGCCAGTCCCATCGATATCCCCTGTCTTGGTGTGAGACTTGAAGGGGAGGAGGAGGGGAAGTTTTTTTTAGCAGGAGTCAGTTTTCCTCACTGCAGCCTGGCTTCACTTGCAGGATCCTGTCTACAGGGGAAGGAGTTAAGAGCTGCAAATCTGCTATCCTTCCAATGTAGAGATGCAGGAATTAAAATGGCAAACCGTGAAAACACCTTATTTAGAAGAACTTGTTTAAAGAGATGTGGCATCTTCTATGCCAAGTCTCAGTCAAGGAGCTATGAATACTTTCTGACTCATGGAGAATAACAGGTGCAAGCTGACAAGCCTCTAGACAAGGCGATAAAGCCAAAATTGCTTCCAGACAAGCACCTTTAGGACCTGCAGCTGGTAGAAAAGGGGAGGTGCATTTTGTTTATTTGACAAACCATGTCAAGCTTCTGATTTCTTCCGCTAATTTCTTGCCCCCACCTTTTCAGAAAAGTCTCAACACCCAGCTGTCTGTACCAGATTTTCTAAACACCAGTGTGAGCCTTGCCCTTCCCTGTAACTTGCTGGCGTTCACCATGCGGATTTCAGTAGCTGCGGGCTGAGAGGCAGTGCAGGGTTCAAACACTACCTAGTGAAAATGCTTCATAGTTTATTTCAGAGGTGAATTTCCTTACATGGCCAATTAAATAATTTTGATATTACAGAACAGGAGCCAGGATTATTCTCTTCCTGGAATAAACACCAGGGACCTGCAGTGGCATTGTTTTATAGCAAGAATAGCCTCAGAGAAATCCTGTCTCTGCTCTGCTCCCAATCTCACATGCAAGACCTCTTTCTTTCTTTGCTTCTTTGTTTCCATCACACATTATTGACCGGATCTCAGCCTAGAAACTCAACCTGCAGACTTCTCCTGCCTGGGCTGCTGCCCACAGTCCCTGTGCCTGGGAAGCTCAGGGTCAGCCCCATCCTGGAGCTGCCCCCTACATGCTGCAGTGTGGTCCCTTCCCTGTCCATCTGGTCCTTCTCTAATACCCGTGTGGGACTTGGCTGGGTGAAACTTGTTCATCCTTGGTGTAAAACCATGCCCTGATGAACAGAGCAGTGAGCACTGAAAAAACCCATGGTGCAAAGTGAAGTTATTCCTGTTCACTGTGTCTGAACTGGGGAGTTAGGCTGATTGTCACTGGCCAGGTTGAGGCGTGCTGTAGGATGCCAGGGCTGCAATGTGCGCTGGTCCTGCAAACCTGGGGACCAGCAGGGCTGGAGAGCCCATGGTGTGAGCACAGGCAGGAGAGGCAGCAGTGGGTAAGGCAGGTACCGCAGATCAGAGAGGGGAAGGAGGAGAGAGAATTGGAAAGCAATGGTGAGGTGTCCTGGCAAACAGACTGCTGGTATTGAAGGACCAGTGCTGAACTTCTTTCCTTCTTTGTCCTTGTCCTTCCTCCGCCTGCCCCAGATTCAGCAAAGGCAGTTCAATAAGGCTTCCAATTCCACCTACTGCATATTCATGGTGAACAAGCCATACGCCATTACCTGCTCCGTGGTGGCCTTCTACATTCCCTTCCTTCTGATGGTACTGGCCTACTACCGCATCTACGTCACGGCCAGGGAACACGCCCGCCAGATCCGGGTGCTGCAGCGTGCGGGGGCCCCCACCGACGGCCGGCAGCACCACCCGGACCAGCACAGTACACACCGCATGAAGACTGAGACCAAAGCTGCCAAGACCCTGTGCATCATCATGGGGTGCTTCTGCCTGTGCTGGGCCCCCTTCTTTATCACAAACATAGTGGACCCTTTCATAAACTACACGGTGCCGGGAAAGCTGTGGACGGCTTTCCTGTGGCTGGGCTACATCAATTCAGGGTTGAACCCTTTCCTCTACGCCTTCCTGAACAAGTCTTTCAGACGTGCCTTCCTCATCATCCTGTGCTGTGGTGATGAGCGATACCGAAGGCCTTCCATCTTGGGGCAGACGGTCCCCTGTTCCACCACCACAATAAATGGATCGACTCATGTACTAAGGTGAGTGTTTCGTGGGTGCTGCAAAATGCCTGGAGTCACTAGAAAGAGTACTTCTCTAGAGTTTCTGCAAAGGATTGGTTTCACTTTGCCTTTGATATATCCAATGGGTTAACTGTTTAAAAAAAGGAGGGGAAAGAGAAGCATCCAGAAATCTTTAGGGTGCTCAAAAAACCTGGGTTTGTAGATAACAGATCAGTGTTGGCATGCGCAGTTTCTCTAGAGGTGTGTTGAGGAAAGATTTGAGAGAACACAGAAGCCGTGTATGCATTTTGGTAAGCCCTGCTGTATCGTTTGATGGGAACAACTTGACCCCACAGGGAGCACCTTGAAGGGTGGCTGTCTACTCCATCTTTTCTAGCAAAGGGATCATGACCCCCATTGCCCCTTCTCAGGTTGTGCCTTTGTAGCCCCACCAGCCACTGCTGCATCTTCTGAACTGCAAAGGCAAAGGATGAACTCCACCAAATGTCCTGACCCTGCTGGGGCACTTCAGTGGCTTTCTGGGAGAAGGGACACTTGCCATTGTGTTTCAGCAGCTCAGAAAATGCTGGGGTGTCTGCCATTTAGTGTAAGCCTGCCCCTGTGCAAAGCAGCAGCACCCAGCTCTGCAGGAGCCCTGGGAGCTGAGCATGTCTCACAGGGGTGCAGGACATAGTCCTGGTGGGCAGCAGTTTGGGGTCCCAATGAATTTGAACGCCACATTTCACACACCCCACCCTTCACTGAGTACCACAGTGTGTTCATTGCAAGAGAGAGTGTGTGGGCTGTGCACTGTGGGGATACAGAGGGGTTCGGAGGGGTCTGTGGTATAAGGCACCCTCTGCTGTCTTTTCACCAAGTGGAGGGGTGGGAGGCAGAGCACGAGAGGAAGGCAGGGAAGAACAATTATCTCCTGTAATATCAGAACAAACTGCAATCGTGGGAAAAAACAAGGTATTTCTATGCAGCGGTCTAGAGAAGGTTTGGTTCTTTTGGTAGATGGATTCATGGCTGTTCACATGCAGATGAGGACTGGGTAACCACATTTGTGTTCAGACCTGAACCCATCTGGAGACTGAATCAAACACTGAGCACTTCCCAGCTGAGTCTGATTTGCTGGTTTGCCCCAGGCTCCCTTCTGCAGTGATCTCTGAAGTTTTGGAAGGAGTCCTGAGTGTTATAATGGATGAGAGACAGCCCTCAAGCTTTTTAAGGCACGAAGGACATTACAATGGATTTATCTTCTGCTAATTAAAAACTGTTTGGGGGCTATGGTCCCAGAGCCCTCTGTCTGTGATGGATGCATGCCACACTCAGCCTGTATTTCTATCAAAATGAGCCATGCTCCCAGGGACAAGCCAGATATTCCTCTGCTGCGGTTAGGAGGACTGAGAGAGCAGCCCTTGTTGCGTGCAGCGTGCCATGCCACAGCATATGAGCCAGTATCTCTGGCTGGGGAGCTGCAGGGGTGAACGCTGGAAAGGCATCCCTGTGCAGGGAGAAAGGGAGGGAGGGCTCGTTCCTGTCCCTGGTTAACGAGGGTGGCTCTGTGCTCTCACCATGGGGCCAGGCCGGTGGCCTAAACACAAAGAAAGAGTGGCATCTATTTTGGCTAGTAAGCACAGCAACAGGATACCTTTTGTTAAGTATACAAGGCAGAGAGACAACAGGGAGTCTCTCTTAGGTGTGGGTTTGAGATGTGGAGGGCAGGGAGCACGGCAGCCCAGAAGGTGAATTGCTTCAGTCCATGCTGACGTTTGACTTCCAAGTGTTGCAGAAGGCAATGCCAGTGCCTCCTCATGTCTCGCTGCTTTTGCACTAAGTTATCTTGCTGTGAGACCTCATCATCCTGCTGGTGGCCTGTGGGAGAGGCAGGCTCAGGCCAGTACTGCCCTGGGGATGCTGGGCAGTGGAGACGGGCTCCTGAGAGAGTGAGCGGCCAGGGAGGCTCTGCACACCTCCAGGAGGCCTGAGCTGCTGGGGGTTTCCTTCGTTCTGTGCTGAGTGTCCCTGAGCTGACAAACATTTTGAGACTCTTTTTAAACATGTCAATGTCTCTGCAATGGCCAAAGCAAATGTGAAGGGTTACCTTCCTTCCAAAGCTAGGAGTGGCCACGGTCTTGGCCATCCTGGCCAACTGGGGAGGCTCTGGTGGGCTGTAGTAAATGGTGGATCCCACCATGGAGCTGAGATCAGGCTTTCCTCATTTCCAGCTTCTCCCTCCCACTATACTGCTCTGCTCCCACATACAAGTTACCCATAGAAATATATAACAATCCTGTCAATCTGGATGTGACAACCGTTGCAAAAGGCCTCATACGAACCAAAACTGCACAAAGGCATCTTGTCCACTTCTAGCTTTTGTGAGTACTTTTATGGGTAAGAGCAGGTTGCCTCCCTTCAACATGGTACAACTGCAAGTCAGATTATCTTCTGCCTTTCCATATCACTCCAGCTCTGCAGAAGGCACTCGCTTCCCACTGCTGCATCCCCTCCTCCCTCTGCGTGCCGGAGGGATGTGGCTCTGCACGTCAGCACTTCAGAGAGCAATTATTTTCTGTTTTCCTCAGCTTTGTAACTGATGAGAAAAGTGTGACTGATTTCCCTGGTGCAGATTATGGACTGATGATAGAGGCGTGAGGATTAAAGGAAGACAGACTAACTGTAGTCTTTGAACAGTTAACCTCACTTGAGGAATTTGTGTTTCTTCAGTGCCTCTCTCTTAAATGCAAAAAAGGTTGGACTGAGCGTGAATAGTAGAGAAGTTCAGTGAGCCAGGTTCTCTCAAGATATAACATACATTTGCTTTACTAGCATGGAAATACAAGGGTTTTGTGCCCAGCAGCTGAAATATTGAAACCTTCCTGTATGGGTTGGCTTCATACCAACACGACTGAGAAGCTGCGTAGAGGCTGGACTTGGTTCACATGCTGCTTTTCCAACGTTGAAGTTGTTTCTTCCCAACCAAGAGCTTCTGCAGATGGGGAAGTTGTGCAAGTGGGATTTTACAACTGCTTTTTGTACTGTGGCAGGGAGAGCAGTGAAGAGAAGGGCAGATCTTGTGCTAAATCTAGGGCAGAGTTCCTCCCCCAAAACCCACAGAGTATTGCAATTTTGTATTAAGCTGATGTGGGTCGTTTAGCCTCAAAGGGAGTCAGGAGTGGTTGACAGTCGGTCTGGAATTTCTCACTCCTCTCCACTTCCAATCTTGAGAAGATCTGAACTTTCCTTCAGCTCTACCTGTCCAAACCGTTCTGTCCTTGCTCACAACCATCTCACCGGTGCATCTGCAAGTGCAAGATTATGTTTGTCACTGTTAAAATTCAGGCTCTTGCTCTTGGGTGCATTTGACCTGTGAGAGTGCCTTCCAGGGAGAGAAGGCATTTCTTCTTTTTTTCTTCTGATAACTTTAGTGTCAAAATGGTCTGACAGTCCCATTTTCGGAATTTTCACATTTATATTAGGAACGGGGAAAAAAAGAAGAAGGAGGAGCAGAGTGCAGTAAAACACGGCAGCGAGAAGAGGCAGGCCCACTCGCTGCACACAGACTGAGGGACCTCTTTGGAGACAGTTCTCATTCTTTCTTTTTTTAAAATTTATTTTTCAAGTGGTCGGTAAAGACTGTGGTGCTCTGGGTGACCCAGGCAGGAAGAGACTTTACAGCGCACCTGGGGCCAGACACAACCCTGGTGGCGATGGGGCAAGGGAGCACAGTGGCTCAACCATGGTATGAGGGTGACTGCAGCTTCTTAATCCCCTGGCAACTGCCCCACTTTATCCCTAAATTATGTACCAGAAGATGGGGAAAGGATTTCCTGTCACCCATTTTGTTCTTGAACTCTCCATTAGCTGGTGTGAGAGACACCCATTCCTTGGGCAGGGTAAGATGTAGTGCAAAACGTGTTTTGAAGATGTCATGAACAGCCAGGAGATA